GGGATCCGTAGTTTCCCCTTGACTAGTTTGAATCTTAGCTATTTGACGGGAGGCGGAGACCTGACGGATCTGATGAGCCAGCAGTTTACCGGCTTTATCACCATGTTCGAAAAATTGTGTATTAGCCTGAAGCATAAGATCTGTTGTGTGCGAGGTCATGAGTACATCAAATTCAGATTGGAGAGCGAGACGTTCTTTATAAATGTTCGGTGAAGGCAAGGCTGCATATATGGTATCTAGCTGCAATATTCGCTGCCTGATACAGTTTAATTTTTCATCTCTTATTTTGTTCTCAAAATGTACAAAGGAGATTATTTCCCCTCTAATATAAGCCTTAAGGGACTCCCAGAGCAACGAAGCAGACATTCCTGGCATTCTGTTGGTACTCAAGAAAAAATCTATCTGATTTGAGACAAAGTTAATAAAATTATCATTTAGGAGTAGCCGAACATTGAGGCGCCAAAGGGGGCGCTGGTATAAGGCTCTCAGTTTTATATCCATCAAAAGAGGAGCATGGTCAGAGAGAACAATGGCATCATATCTACACAGAGATATCATTGATAGAAATCGATTATCGACTAAAAACAGGTCAATGCGCGTAAACGTGTGATGCACAGAAGAAAAGAATGAGTATTCTCGCTTGGAGGGATTCAAAAAGCGCCAAGAGTCAGATATAGAAAACACGTCCATAAAATTTTGAATTGTCTTCGCTGATCGTGAAGGTGCAACTTGTTTAGTGGAAGAGCGATCTAGAGCGGGGTCTAGCCAGCAATTAAAGTCCCCTCCCAGTATTAAATGATAAGCAGACATATCAGGAAGCAGAGAGAAAAAACGCTTAAAAAAGGACTCATCATCACAGTTTGGTGCATAGACGTTGGCCAATGCAATATTCAAACCCAGGAGCTTGCCAGTTACAATAACGTATCTGCCATTAGGATCAGGGAGAACCCGCTCAAGAACAAAGGAAACAGACTTATTGAAAGAGAATCGCTGTACCCCTAGCCTTACCAGAAAAAGATGAATGATACACTTGGCCCACCCAGCTTTTCTTTAACTTCAGGTGATCCAGGTTCTTAAGGTGGGTCTCTTGGAGGAAGACTATTTGAGCACCAAGCTGCTGTAGATGGTGGAGCACCTTACTGCGTTTCACTGGATTATTAAGTCCTTTGCAGTTAAAGCTAGCGAACCGGAGGTCCTTTCCTACTGAAGACAACATAATGGTAAAATCAAATTATTGCATTCAGGTTGTCCCGCAAACTTATATGAACATATTATGGACACATCAAATGTAATAATAGCAGTGTAGAGAAGTTGATGGCATGAAAACAAACAAAAAACACAAAAAATCGCAGAAGCATTCCCCCAAATGGAATGCGCGACCCCCAATCCCCCCAAATATCCCATAGCAAACCTTCAGAAGGCGAAGGAGGAAACTAAAACTATAACCCTCCATGTGGAATGTGACAAAAAAAAAAACAAATTATAGAAAATACACCAAGTCTCAACAATGGATACAAGGAATACCTGTATGCCTATAGCAGAATGGACAACAACAATAACCTATTTGTCAGGAAATACAAATAAACAAATAAAAGTGATAACTATCAGGCAACATTATTAGCAGGGTAGCAATAACATTAGGTTAAAGCCTAGAATTAATGCTAAAAAAGAACAAAATATTTTAAATGGAAAAAAAAACATACTGCAATAACGGGCTGTATTAATGCAACAGTCAACACAACAAAACAAAGGGGGCAACATATTACCAAATGTGCAAAACTGTAACGTTACTCTGACTGGTGGTTACTGCAGCTTCCAAATGTTTTTAAGTGAAAGACAGACACATCAGATAGAGTCAGGAGACACCATAGTCTTCACATGTTTGGTCACAAAGTCCGCTGCAAGTTCTGGGTCTTCAAAACGATGAGTCTGTCCACCGGGAAGGGTAACACGCAGCACAGCAGGATAGAACAGGCCAAACTTCACACCCGGGCATGAATGGAGCGATTTTTTCACCGTAGCAAAAGCGGATCTTTTCTTAGAAACGACGGCAGTGAAATCCGGGAACACGGACACCCTTTTCCCCTGGTATAGGAGTGGAGCCGATGCACCAGCTCTACGCAAAATCTCGTTGCGTTGTTGGAAAAGGTTTACACGTGCAATAAACGGGCGAGGGGGCTCTCCATCCTTGGGCTTAGGCCGGAGCGTGCGATGCGCTCGATCCAAAACGGGCTTGTCGTTCAGACCAAGCAAGTCTCGTAGTAAAGTGGCCACAAAATCAGTAGGTCGGGCTCCTTCAACTCCCTCTGGCACTCCAACAATACGTACATTATTCTGCCTTGAGCGCCCCTCCAGGTCTTCGCATTTCTTCGACAGAGAGCCAACCTGCTCGGTCAGCAAAGCTACCGTAGCTTGTAAGCTAGTTAGCTGGCCACCATGATCTGTAGCAGTATCTTCCAAGCTATTAATGGTTTCACTCTGCGCACTCAGAGATGTTTCTAGTGGACGAAGGGCAGCGGCTATCTCCCGTTTAACTACCCCTGATACTATCTGCTCAAACTCAGTGACAATGTCCGAACGCATGCTCTGCATCATTACCTCCATACGACATAGCAGGCGCTCGTTAGCATCAGACCCGGGGTCAGGCACATGCTCAGGCGAGGCCGCAGGATGGATGCGGCCTGTCTTCGCTGTTTCAGATTTATGGCGAGTTTCCATGCCTACGCTGCTCTTCCTCGGTGGGGCGGACATGGTTGGTTTCAATAAAGTTAGAAGACTGGCGGTTATGTTCAAATCCAAGTTAAAAGGTGTAAAAATACAATAAAAAGTCACATTCTGGCGGAGCTACTGCAGACACGTCCTCACATGCCAACGCTCAACAGCGCCCCCAGACCACATTAGTCCTGACTAGAACCAGGAAGTACGACCACATTAGTCCTGACTAGAACCAGGAAGTACGACCACATTAGTCCTGACTAGAACCAGGAAGTACGACCACATTAGTCCTGACTAGAACCAGGAAGTACGACCACATTAGTCCTGACTAGAACCAGGAAGTACGACCACATTAGTCCTGACTAGAACCAGGAAGTACGACCACATTAGTCCTGACTAGAACCAGGAAGTACGACCACATTAGTCCTGACTAGAACCAGGAAGTACGACCACATTAGTCCTGACTAGAACCAGGAAGTACGACCACATTAGTCCTGACTAGAACCAGGAAGTACGACCACATTAGTCCTGACAAGAACCAGGAAGTACGACCACATTAGTCCTGACTAGAACCAGGAAGTACGACCACATTAGTCCTGACTAGAACCAGGAAGTACGACCACATTAGTCCTGACTAGAACCAGGAAGTACGACCACATTAGTCCTGACTAGAACCAGGAAGTACGACCACATTAGTCCTGACTAGAACCAGGAAGTACGACCACATTAGTCCTGACTAGAACCAGGAAGTACGACCACATTAGTCCTGACTAGAACCAGGAAGTACGACCACATTAGTCCTGACTAGAACCAGGAAGTACGACCACATTAGTCCTGACTAGAACCAGGAAGTACGACCACATTAGTCCTGACTAGAACCAGGAAGTACGACCACATTAGTCCAGTCCTCAGGTCTCTGCACTGGCTTCCTGTGGCTCAGAGAATAGACTTTAAAACAGCTCTGCTTGTTACAAGTCTCTCCATGGCCTCGCACCAAAATATATTAGTGACATGTTAGTCCCATATGAACCAGCCCGGACTCTGAGGAGCACAGGGACTGGACTCCTGCTGGGACTCTGAGGAGCACAGGGACTGGACTCCTGCTGGGACTCTAAGGAGCACAGGGACTGGACTCCTGCTGGGACTCTGAGGAGCACAGGGACTGGACTCCTGCTGGGACTCTGAGGAGCACAGGGACTGGACTCCTGCTGGGACTCTGAGGAGCACAGGGACTGGACTCCTGCTGGGACTCTGAGGAGCACAGGGACTGGACTCCTGCTGGGACTCTGAGGAGCACAGGGACTGGACTCCTGCTGGGACTCTGAGGAGCACAGGGACTGGACTCCTGCTGGGACTCTGAGGAGCACAGGGACTGGCCTCCTGCTGGGACTCTGAGGAGCACAGGGACTGGACTCCTGCTGGGACTCTGAGGAGCACAGGGACTGGACTCCTGCTGGGACTCTGAGGAGCACAGGGACTGGACTCCTGTTAGTGCCCAGAGTCAGAACTAAACATGGGGAGGCTGCTTTTCAGATTCATGCTGCTAAAATCTGGAACAGTCTTCCTGAAGATGTGAGACAGGCCTCCTCTCTGACAATGTTTAAAACCAGGTTAAAGACGGTTCTGTTTAGCTGTGCTACAACTGAGGGATTTTATATTTTTATCTTTCTTTTTAATGTTCTGTGATTATTTATGATTTTAATGCTTTCTTGTTTTGTTCAGCACTTTGAATTGCCTTGTGTATGAATTGTGCTATATAAATAAACTTGCCTTGCCTTACATGTTCTCTGCATGTTCTCTGCATGTTCTCTGCATGTTCTCTACATGTTCTCTACATGTTCTCTTCATGTTCTCTACATGTTCTCTGCATGTTCTCTACATGTTCTCTACATGTTCTCTACATGTTCTCTACATGTTCTCTACATGTTCTCTGCATGTTCTCTACATGTTCTCTACATGTTCTCTTCATGTTCTCTACATGTTCTCTGCATGTTCTCTACATGTTCTCTACATGTTCTCTACATGTTCTCTACATGTTCTCTTCATGTTCTCTACATGTTCTCTTCATGTTCTCTACATGTTCTCTGCATGTTCTCTACATGTTCTCTACATGTTCTCTTCATGTTCTCTACATGTTCACTACATGTTCTCTACATGTTCTCTACATGTTCACTACATGTTCTCTACATGTTCTCTACATGTTCACTACATGTTCTCTACATGTTTCTGAGCCGTGATGTCATCGTTTCTATTCACAGGTTTTTGACTCTTTTTCAGACGTCAAGATGTTCTCTGGAGCAGTCACATGTACGTGTCTCTTTAATACTACTAATAATGACATTATTATTATTAATAATATTAATAATAATAACCTGGTGTTTCAGGTTCACCAGTGAAGCGCAGACTGAGGAGTGACTTCTTCCACAGGTTTGTGGAGACTTTAAAGCTCTGTCTATGACGTCACAGAGAAACCAGTTGGAAACAGAGCAGTTAGACAGAAGGGGCGGGGCCATGTGTCAGAAGCTCCTTATCCCGACTTTAGACATTCATTAGAGCAGCTCAGTACCTGTGCTTCAGTCCTGACCTGTGCTTCAGTCCTGACCTGTACCTGTGCTTCAGTCCTGACCTGTCCCTGTGCTTCAGTCCTGACCTGTCCCTGTGCTTCAGTCCTGACCTGTACCTGTGCTTCAGTCCTGACCTGTACCTGTGCTTCAGTCCTGACCTGTACCTGTGCTTCAGTCCTGACCTGTACCTGTGCTTCAGTCCTGACCTGTACCTGTGCTTCAGTCCTGACTCCTTGTACCTGTGCTTCAGTCCTGACCTGTACCTGTGCTTCAGTCCTGACCTGTACCTGTGCTTCAGTCCTGACTCCTTGTACCTGTGCTTCAGTCCTGACCTGTACCTGTGCTTCAGTCCTGACCTGTCCCTGTGCTTCAGTCCTGACCTGTACCTGTGCTTCAGTCCTGACCTGTACCTGTGCTTCAGTCCTGACCTGTACCTGTGCTTCAGTCCTGACTCCTTGTATCTATGCTTCAGTCCTGACTCCTTGTACCTGTGCTTCAGTCCTGACTCCTTGTACCTGTGCTTCAGTCCTGACCTGTACCTGTGCTTCAGTCCTGACCTGTACCTGTTCTTCAGTCCTGACTCCTTGTACCTGTGCTTCAGTCCTGACTCCTTGTACCTGTGCTTCAGTCCTGACTCCTTGTCTCTGTGCTTCAGTCCTGACCTGTCCCTGTGCTTCAGTCCTGACCTGTACCTGTGCTTCAGTCCTGACTCCTTGTCCCTGTGCTTCAGTCTTGACCTGTCCCTGTGCTTCAGTCCTGACCTGTCCCTGTGCTTCAGTCCTGACCTGTCCCTGTGCTTCAGTCCTGACCTGTACCTGTGCTTCAGTTCTGACCTGTACCTGTGCTTCAGTCTTGACCTGTCCCTGTGCTTCAGTCCTGACCTGTCCCTGTGCTTCAGTCCTGACCTGTCCCTGTGCTTCAGTCCTGACCTGTACCTGTGCTTCAGTCTTGACCTGTCCCTGTGCTTCAGTCCTGACCTGTACCTGTGCTTCAGTCCTGACCTGTACCTGTGCTTCAGTCTTGACCTGTACCTGTGCTTCAGTCCAGACCTGTCCCTGTGCTTCAGTCCTGACCTGTACCTGTGCTTCAGTCCTGACCTGTACCTGTGCTTCAGTCCTGACCTGTACCTATGCTTCAGTCCAGACCTGTACCTGTGCTTCAGTCCTGACCTGTCCCTGTGCTTCAGTCCTGACCTGTACCTGTGCTTCAGTCTTGACCTGTCCCTGTGCTTCAGTCCTGACCTGTACCTGTGCTTCAGTCCTGACCTGTACCTGTGCTTCAGTCCTGACCTGTACCTGTGCTTCAGTCTTGACCTGTCCCTGTGCTTCAGTCCTGACCTGTACCTGTGCTTCAGTCCAGACCTGTACCTGTGCTTCAGTCCTGACCTGTCCCTGTGCTTCAGTCCTGACCTGTCCCTGTGCTTCAGTCCTGACCTGTCCCTGTGCTTCAGTCCTGACCTGTACCTGTGCTTCAGTCCTGACCTGTCCCTGTGCTTCAGTCCTGACCTGTACCTGTGCTTCAGTCCTGACCTGTACCTGTGCTTCAGTCCTGACCTGTACCTGTGCTTCAGTCCTGACCTGTACCTGTGCTTCAGTCCAGACCTGTCCCTGTGCTTCAGTCCTGACCTGTCCCTGTGCTTCAGTCCTGACCTGTACCTATGCTTCAGTCCAGACCTGTACCTGTGCTTCAGTCCTGACCTGTACCTGTGCTTCAGTCCTGACCTGTCCCTGTGCTTCAGTCTTGACCTGTCCCTGTGCTTCAGTCCTGACCTGTACCTGTGCTTCAGTCCTGACCTGTACCTGTGCTTCAGTCCTGACCTGTACCTGTGCTTCAGTCCTGACCTGTCCCTGTGCTTCAGTCCTGACCTGTACCTGTGCTTCAGTCTTGACCTGTCCCTGTGCTTCAGTCCTGACCTGTACCTGTGCTTCAGTCCTGACCTGTACCTGTGCTTCAGTCCTGACCTGTCCCTGTGCTTCAGTCCTGACCTGTACCTGTGCTTCAGTCCTGACCTGTCCCTGTGCTTCAGTCCTGACCTGTACCTGTGCTTCAGTCCTGACCTGTACCTGTGCTTCAGTCCTGACCTGTACCTGTGCTTCAGTCCTGACCTGTACCTGTGCTTCAGTCCTGACCTGTACCTATGCTTCAGTCCAGACCTGTCCCTGTGCTTCAGTCCTGACCTGTACCTGTGCTTCAGTCCTGACCTGTACCTATGCTTCAGTCCAGACCAGTCGGTGCTGTCTCCTGACTCGTCGTACCTGCTGAACAGCCCGGACAGCGCCCCCTGCTGGTGCCGGCGCTCCCCGCGGCTGCTCACCAACGGTTACTACAACCTGAGCCAGGGCAGCTTCAGCGTAGACCAGAGCGGACACGTGTCTCTGCAGGAAGCTCCGCCCAGAGTGAGCTACAGGGAGAGCTCTGTGCGGTGGGTACACACACACACACACACACACACACACACACACACACACACACACACACACACACACACACACACACACACACACACACACACACACACACACACACACACACACCTCTGTGCTGACGTCGTGGCTCTAGGACAGAACAGTTAAAGCTCCTCTGGGTTCAGTGTTTGTTTTGTTTTTCTGCCTCTGTCTAAGAAAGATTAACCTGTGCCATATAAATAAACCGTCTCTGTCCTCAGTGTGTTCCGGCGGCGGCGGCGCTCTCTGGTCTCTCTACTCCACGACGTCAAAGACAACTGTCAGTCCTGGCTCTTCACCGGAGTCTTCAGGACCCAAAGTTCAGACCCAGGTCCAGGTCCAGGGCCGGATCTGGACCTGAGCCCTGAGACCACCCACAGACCATCCTGGGACCTAGACCTGGACTGCAGCCGAGACCAGGACCCACTGTGGACCAGACTCAACAGCACCGAGCTGGACGAGAGACTCGACTTTGTCTACGGTGAGAGACACAACTGTTTGGACCGAAGACGAGAAAAGCCAAATCACATGATCCCAGAGTCGACCGACTGCAAACACCACTTTTATTTTATTTCCATTTCCATATATCTTTGGACTTTACAAAGTTGTCAATTCTCCAGCACAGATCAGAGAATCAGAATGAATACAAACACAGACATTGGTACATAGGCCGAGCCTAAATGCCTTTGGGGTCGTCATAGCAACAGTGTGCTAGCATAAAGGACACACACCACTGTTAGCATGTGCTGCTGTTTGTGATGTCACATTCTCAGGGTGTGTGCTGCTCTCAGACAGTGGCTCTCCCAGCAGGAGGCCAGTCCCTGTGCTCCTCAGAGTCCCAGCAGGAGGCCAGTCCCTGTGCTCCTCAGAGTCCCAGCAGGAGGCCAGTCCCTGTGCTCCTCAGAGTCCCAGCAGGAGGCCAGTCCCTGTGCTCCTCAGAGTCCCAGCAGGAGGCCAGTCCCTGTGCTCCTCAGAGTCCCAGCAGGAGGCCAGTCCCTGTGCTCCTCAGAGTCCCAGCAGGAGGCCAGTCCCTGTGCTCCTCAGAGTCCCAGCAGGAGGCCAGTCCCTGTGCTCCTCAGAGTCCCAGCAGGAGGCCAGTCCCTGTGCTCCTCAGAGTCCCAGCAGGAGGCCAGTCCCTGTGCTCCTCAGAGTCCCAGCAGGAGGCCAGTCCCTGTGCTCCTCAGAGTCCCAGCAGGAGGCCAGTCCCTGTGCTCCTCAGAGTCCCAGCAGGAGGCCAGTCCCTGTGCTCCTCAGAGTCCCAGCAGGAGGCCAGTCCCTGTGCTCCTCAGAGTCCCAGCAGGAGTCCAGTCCCTGTGCTCCTCAGAGTCCCAGCAGGAGGCCAGTCCCTGTGCTCCTCAGAGTCCCAGCAGGAGGCCAGTCCCTGTGCTCCTCAGAGTCCCAGCAGGAGTCCAGTCCCTGTGCTCCTCAGAGTCCCAGCAGGAGGCCAGTCCCTGTGCTCCTCAGAGTCCCAGCAGGAGGCCAGTCCCTGTGCTCCTCAGAGTCCCAGCAGGAGTCCAGTCCCTGTGCTCCTCAGAGTCCCAGCAGGAGGCCAGTCCCTGTGCTCCTCAGAGTCCCAGCAGGAGGCCAGTCCCTGTGCTCTTCAGAGTCCCAGCAGGAGGCCAGTCCCTGTGCTCCTCAGAGTCCCAGCAGGAGGCCAGTCCCTGTGCTCCCTGAGTCCCTGTGCTTTGACACAGTATGTATATAAAGGTCTGCTCTTCACACAGACCCCACTGAAGTCCCGCCTCCTCTGGACAAACAGCCCCTGATCCAGGAAGAGCCTGCCCCCGACACCTGTCAGTCACAGGAAACTTTCGGCCAATCAGTGGGCGGCTTGTCGGAAGTCCCGCCCACTGTGTTCTCCCAGAGCTGCTGCTGCCAGAGCTCAGAACAGAGAGGTGTGTGTGTATGTGTGTACATGTGTGTCTGTTTGTGTGACTCTGTGTGTGTGTACATGTGTGTGTGTCTGTATGTGACTCTGTGTATGTGTGTGTCTGTTTGTGACTGTGTGTGTGTCTGTATGTGTGACTCTGTGTGTGTGTGTATTTGTGTGTGCGTCTGTATGTGTGACTGTGTGTGTGTGTATTTGTGTGTGTGTCTGTATGTGTGACTCTGTGTGTGTGTGTTTATTAAACTGGTGTTGTGTTGTCACAGGTCTGACAGGGAGGGGCCTGCTCCTCTTCATCTTCACAGTCTTCATCATGGCGGCTCTGTTGTCACGGTAACCACACAAACATCTGACTGTGAACGAGACCCTGGGTCTAAAGCTGCTTTCAGACCGCAGACTCTCAAACGCTGAAGCCTCGCTCACCAGACGCACATTCTCTAGTTTTCAGACGTAGGGGTCTTCAGACCAGAACGTCCTGCTGCGGTGGCGCCCGCCGGAAGTGCTCTGATGCTAACGGAGTTAAGCTAGCGGCTTTTTGTAAAAGTTCATCTCCAATAATGCAGCTGCAGCGTCTCTGTGTCCGAGACCTTCACAGACTTTATATAACAGCAGGATGTGTTCACGGAGGTGACTTTATATAACAGCAGTATGTGTTCACGGAGGTGACTTTATATAACAGCAGTATGTGTTCACGGAGGTGACTTTATATAACAGCAGTATGTGTTCACGGAGGTGACTTTATATAACAGCAGTATGTGTTCACGGAGGTGACTTTATATAACAGCAGTATGTGTTCACGGAGGTGACTTTATATAACAGCAGTATGTGTTCACGGAGGTGACTTTATATAACAGCAGTATGTGTTCACGGAGGTGACTTTATATAACAGCAGTATGTGTTCACGGAGGTGACTTTATATAACAGCAGTATGTGTTCACGGAGGTGACTTTATATAACAGCAGTATGTGTTCACGGAGGTGACTTTATATAACAGCAGTATGTGTTCACGGAGGTGACTTTATTTACAGCAGTATGTGTTCACGGAGGTGACTTTATATAACAGCAGTATGTGTTCACGGAGGTGACTTTATATAACAGCAGTATGTGTTCACGGTGACTTTATATAACAGCAGTATGTGTTCACGGAGGTGACTTTATATAACAGCAGTATGTGTTCACAGAGGTGACTTTATATAACAGCATTATGTGTTCACGGAGGTGACTTTATATAACAGCAGTATGTGTTCACGGTGACTTTATATAACAGCAGTATGTGTTCACGGAGGTGACTTTATTTAACAGCAGTATGTGTTCACGGAGGTGACTTTATATAACAGCAGTATGTGTTCACGGAGGTGACTTTATATAACAGCAGTATGTGTTCACGGTGACTTTATATAACAGCAGTATGTGTTCACGGAGGTGACTTTATATAACAGCAGTATGTGTTCACGGAGGTGACTTTATATAACAGCAGTATGTGTTCACGGAGGTGACTTTATATAACAGTAGTATGTGTTCACGGAGGTGACTTTATATAACAGCAGTATGTGTTCACGGAGGTGACTTTATATAACAGCAGTATGTGTTCACGGAGGTGACTTTATATAACAGCAGTATGTGTTCACGGAGGTGACTTTATATAACAGCAGTATGTGTTCACAGAGGTAACTTTATATAACAGCAGTATGTGTTCACGGAGGTGACTTTATATAACAGCAGTATGTGTTCACGGAGGTGACTTTATATAACAGCAGTATGTGTTCACGGTGACTTTATATAACAGCAGTATGTGTTCACGGAGGTGACTTTATATAACAGCAGTATGTGTTCACGGAGGTGACTTTATATAACAGCAGTATGTGTTCACGGAGGTGACTTTATATAACAGCAGTATGTGTTAGTTAGTAACGTCAGTGACTAACGTCAGTAATGTCAGTGAGTAACGTCAGTAACGTCAGTGAGTAACGTCAGTAATGTCAGTGAGTAATGTCAGTGAGTAACGTCAGTGAGTAACGTCAGTAATGTCAGTGAGTAACGTCAGTGAGTAACGTCAGTAATGTCAGTGAGTAACGTCAGTAATGTCAGTGAGTAACGTCAGTAATGTCAGTGAGTAACATCAGTAATGTCAGTGAGTAACGTCAGTGAGTAACGTCAGTAATGTCAGTGAGTAACGTCAGTAATGTCAGTGAGTAACGTCAGTGAGTAACGTCAGTAATGTCAGTGAGTAACGTCAGTAATGTCAGTGAGTAACGTCAGTAATGTCAGTGAGTAACGTCAGTGAGTAACGTCAGTAATGTCAGTGAGTAACGTCAGTAATGTCAGTGAGTAACGTCAGTAATGTCAGTGAGTAACGTCAGTAATGTCAGTGAGTAACGTCAGTAATGTCAGTGAGTAACGTCAGTGAGTAACGTCAGTAATGTCAGTGAGTAACGTCAGTGAGTAACGTCAGTAATGTCAGTGAGTAACGTCAGTAATGTCAGTGAGTAACGTCAGTAATGTCAGTGAGTAACGTCAGTAACGGAGTGATTAACGTCAGTAATGTCAGTGAGTAATGTCAGTGAGTAACGTCAGTAATGTCAGTGAGTAACGTCAGTAATGTCAGTGAGTAACGTCAGTGAGTAACGTCAGTAATGTCAGTGAGTAACGTCAGTCAGTAACGTCAGTAATGTCAGTGAGTAACGTCAGTAATGTCAGTGAGTAACGTCAGTAATGTCAGTGAGTAACGTCAGTAATGTCAGTGAGTAACGTCAGTGAGTAACGTCAGTAATGTCAGTGAGTAACGTCAGTAATGTCAGTGAGTAACGTCAGTAATGTCAGTGAGTAACGTCAGTGAGTAACGTCAGTAACGTCAGTGAGTAACGTCAGTAATGTCAGTGAGTAACGTCAGTAATGTCAGTGAGTAACGTCAGTAATGTCAGTGAGTAACGTCTGTAATGTCAGTGAGTAACACGTCAGTAATGTCAGTGAGTAACGTCAGTGAGTAACGTCAGTAATGTCAGTGAGTAACGTCAGTAATGTCAGTGAGTAACGTCAGTAATGTCAGTGAGTAACGTCAGTAATGTCAGTGAGTAACGTCAGTGAGTAACGTCAGTAATGTCAGTGAGTAACGTCAGTAATGTCAGTGAGTAATGTCAGTGAGTAACGTCAGTGAGTAACGTCAGTAATGTCAGTGAGTAACGTCAGTCAGTAACATGTTTGAAGGCACCAGGGGTGGGATTAAATACGTTTTCTTCTTCCCGCTCCTTTTCGAGTATTTACAAGTGTTTCTTTTGTGAATATAATATTTTTAATTTCGAATTATGTAACTCAAGGTTATTTATGTTATTCCCACTGATGACTGCTGTCGTTGTGTCCTTGGGCAAGACACTTAACCCCACTTTGCCCAAAGCCCCCACTGAAAGATCAAGGCTATGCTCACAGTCAGAGAGCAGCCGTCCTCCTGTGGACTCACCACCTGCAGAGGGTCAGTGAGGGGCTGGTGCTATGAGACTTGGGTGGCATCTCTGACTGCCACCCCCCTGACCCAGAAATGGATTAAAGGGTAGAACATGGATGGATGGATTATTTATGTTTTAGTTTTTTTGGTATCCTGCTTTTGTTTATTGTATGGCTAATAATTGATTACTGCTGCTAATGTACATCTGTACATTAGCAGCAGTATGTTTACATCTGTACATTAGCAGCTGTGTATTGCACATTCTGGTATAAGGTAAGGATATTGCAACGATGCGAGAATGACACTGGAATCAAGTTGGCAGTGTTCATTAGTCCTTATTGGTCCTTATTGTTTGTTGTACAGTCTGACAGCCGCAGGAAGGAAAGACCTACGGAACCTCTCCTTCACACAGCGAGGGTGAATTAGTCTGTCACTGAAGCTGCTCTCCAGAGCAGAGAGAGTGTCCTGCAGGGGGCGACAGTCATGGTCCAGCATAGATGTTAGTTTGCTCAGGACCCTCCTGTCCCCCACCTGCTGCACTGTGTCCAGGGAACAGCCCAGGACTGAGCTGGACTTCCTGATGTTCCAGCTTCTTCCTGTCCCTCTCTGTGATGCTGCTGTTCCAGCAGACCACACCGTACAAGAGGCTCCACCACAGAGTCATAGAAGGTCTTCAGGAGTGGCCCCTGCACTCCAAAAGACCTGAGCCTCCTCAGCAGGTAGAGGCGGCTCTGGCCCTTCTTGAAGAGGGCGTCTGAGTTATGAGTCCAGTCCAGTTTGTGGTTCAGATGAACACCCAGGTACTTGTAAGAGTCCACTCTCTCGATGTCCTTTCCCTGGATGTTCACTGGAGCTGGAGCGGCAGAGTGACGTCTGCGGAAATCTACCACCATCTCCTTGGTCTTCCTCACGTTGATGAGGAGGTGGTTCATCTCCTTGGTCTTCCTCACGTTGATGAGGAGGTGGTTCATCTCCTTGGTCTTCCTCACGTTGATGAGGAGGTGGTTCATCTCCTTGGTCTTCCTCGCGTTGATGAGGAGGTGGTTCATCTCCTTGGTCTTCCTCGCGTTGATGAGGAGGTGGTTCATCTCCTTGGTCTTCCTCACGTTGATGAGGAGGTGGTTCATCTCCTTGGTCTTCCCCGCGTTGATGAGGAGGTGGTTCATCTCCTTGGTCTTCCCCGCGTTGATGAGGAGGGGTTCATCTCCTTGGTCTTCCTCACGTTGATGAGGAGGTGGTTCATCTCCTTGGTCTTCCTCACGTTGATGAGGAGGTGGTTCATCTCCTTGGTCTTCCTCACGTTGATGAGGAGGTGGTTCATCTCCTTGGTCTTCCCTGCGTTGATGAGGAGGTGGTTCATCTCCTTGGTCTTCCTCACGTTGATGAGGAGGTGGTTCATCTCCTTGGTCTTCCTCGCGTTGATGAGGAGGTGGTTCATCTCCTTGGTCTTCCTCACGTTGATGAGGAGGTGGTTCATCTCCTTGGTCTTCCTCACGTTGATGAGGAGGTGGTTCATCTCCTTGGTCTTCCCCGCGTTGATGAGGAGGTGGTTCATCTCCTTGGTCTTCCTCACGTTGATGAGGAGGTGGTTCATCTCCTTGGTCTTCCTCACGTTGATGAGGAGGTGGTTCATCTCCTTGGTCTTCCTCACGTTGATGAGGAGGTGGTTCATCTCCTTGGTCTTCCTCACGTTGATGAGGAGGTGGTTCATCTCCTTGGTCTTCCCTGCGTTGATGAGGAGGTGGTTCATCTCCTTGGTCTTCCCCGCGTTGATGAGGAGGTGGTTCATCTCCTTGGTCTTCCCCGCGTTGATGAGGAGGTGGTTCATCTCCTTGGTCTTCCTCACGTTGATGAGGAGGTGGTTCATCTCCTTGGTCTTCCTCACGTTGATGAGGAGGTGGTTCATCTCCTTGGTCTTCCTCACGTTGATGAGGAGGTGGTTCATCTCCTTGGTCTTCCCCGCGTTGATGAGGAGGTGGTTCATCTCCTTGGTCTTCCTCACGTTGATGAGGAGGTGGTTCATCTCCTTGGTCTTCCTCACGTTGATGAGGAGGTGGTTCATCTCCTTGGTCTTCCTCACGTTGATGAGGAGGTGGTTCATCTCCTTGGTCTTCCTCACGTTGATGAGGAGGTGGTTCATCTCCTTGGTCTTCCTCACGTTGATGAGGAGGTGGTTCATCTCCTTGGTCTCCTCACGTTGATGAGGAGGTGGTTCATCTCCTTGGTCTTCCTCACGTTGATGAGGAGGTGGTTCATCTCCTTGGTCTTCCTCACGTTGATGAGGAGGTGGTTCATCTCCTTGGTCTTCCTCACGTTGATGAGGAGGTGGTTCATCTCCTTGGTCTTCCTCACGTTGATGAGGAGGTGGTTCATCTCCTTGGTCTTCCTCACGTTGATGAGGAGGTGGTTCATCTCCTTGGTCTTCCTCACGTTGATGAGGAGGTGGTTCATCTCCTTGGTCTTCCTCACGTTGATGAGGAGGTGGTTCATCTCCTTGGTCTTCCCTGCGTTGATGAGGAGGTGGTTCATCTCCTTGGTCTTCCCCGCGTTGATGAGGAGGTGGTTCATCTCCTTGGTCTTCCCCGCGTTGATGAGGAGGTGGTTCATCTCCTTGGTCTTCCTCACGTTGATGAGGAGGTGGTTCATCTCCTTGGTCTTCCTCACGTTGATGAGGAGGTGGTTCATCTCCTTGGTCTTCCTCACGTTGATGCGAGAAGAACCAAGGAGGTGGTTCATCTCCTTGGTCTTCCCCGCGTTGATGAGGAGGTGGTTCATCTCCTTGGTCTTCCTCACGTTGATGAGGAGGTGGTTCATCTCCTTGGTCTTCCTCACGTTGATGAGGAGGTGGTTCATCTCCTTGGTCTTCCTCACGTTGATGAGGAGGTGGTTCATCTCCTTGGTCTTCCTCACGTTGATGAGGAGGTGGTTCATCTCCTTGGTCTTCCTCACGTTGATGAGGAGGTGGTTCATCTCCTTGGTCTTCCTCACGTTGATGAGGAGGTGGTTCATCTCCTTGGTCTTCCTCACGTTGATGAGGAGGTGGTTCCGCTGACACCAGTCCACAAAGTCCTGTATAACTCCTCTGTACTCTGTGTCATCGTCATTTCATTTCATTTATTTATTTATTTGAACAGGGACAGTGTACAATATACATTAACCTCAGAAAGGAGAGATGCATTGTACCAGGTTGTAGCACTTGTGCTAATTTCCACCTGCAGTCCCTGGGCAGACTGATGTCAACATACAAAGTTTTAGAAAATTACACATGTTAAAAATACATTTCCCCCTAAACAGCATTAAAATGAAACCAATTTACAGTACTTTATGGGAACAGGTTTGTTTTAAAAGAAGCCATTTTTTGGCCTGGTGTGAAAAAGTGTTAAAATGTACACATGTGGTCAGCTCTGTTGGCAACATATCGTCCTCGGAGCTGAGTCCGATGATGGCAGAGTCAGAGAACTTCTGTAGAACACAATTGTCCGCAGTGTAGAGGGTGAAGAGGAACGGCGCGAGGACTGTCCCCTGGGGGGCCCCCACACTGCAGGTCGTGACCTCCGACACAAAGTCCCTGGTTCTTACAAACTGGGGTCTGTCTGTGAGGTTGTCCAGGATCCACTGGGACAGGTCGTAGTCCATTCCAGCTGTCTCCAGCTTGTTCCTGAGAAGCCTCGGCTGGATGGTGTTGAAGGCACTGGAGAAGTCGAAGAAGAGGATCCTCACAGTGGAGCCGGGTTTCTCCAGGTTTACTGCGGCGACACGGACTGCAGAGCTGCTGCATTTTCGTCTGTTTATCGTGATCTAGATGTGTCAAGTGTCTGCTTTTTCGTATGTGATTAATGTTGGTGCAACTCTGAACAATGGCCAAATTTGAGAGGAATCTGTACATTGGATTACTGTGTTGGCTCATCACCGTAAACTTCTGTCAAACAACCGCTCTATACGCCAACCAGGAAGTGCGGGTGTATGACAGAGAGACTCTACTAAGTCTTCGTAACTTCCCAACTTCAACCAAGCTTCTGATCGACTTTCTAGAACAGGGGTCGGGGACCTATGGCTCGCGAGCCAGATGTGGCTCTTTTGATGATTGCATATGGCTCGCAGATAAAACAAAATATTTTCACTTGTTTTAATCCATCCATCGATTTTTCACTGTGCATGTCCTGTTCAGGGCTGCAGGAGCAATTTTCCATTATTTTAATTGGCTGATACTGGCCTAGCTTTGCCGTTGCTGGGTAAAACAGGTAAACGCCCCCTTTTGAATCAGTCTTGAGACAGCGTTTGCGACAAAGAAGATGGCGAAAAGAAAAAAAGACAAGTATCGTACATTTCAGGACGAATGGACCGAAGAATTCGCATTTGTGGAAAGAGCGGGTTCTGCGGTGTGTCTAATTTGCATAGACAAGATTACATCGTTGAAACGGTCGAATGTAAAGCGGCACTTCGACACGCGCCACGCTACCTTTGCATCAAAATACCCTGCGGGAGACAGCAGAAAGAAAGCGTGCCAAGAGCTTCTGAGCAGGGTGCAAGCTAGCCAGCAGCAACTCCGCGTATGGACCCGGCAAGGTGACTATAATTCGGCTAGCTTTGCTGGTTCTTTAGCAATAGTGAGGAACGGAAAACCATTCACAGATGGCGAGAATGCTAAAACGTTCATGCTGGATGTAGCCAATGAACTTTTTGATGATCTTCCGAACAAAGACAAGATAATCAAACGGATACAAGACATGCCTCTGTCGGCAAGAACTGTTCATGATCGTACCATCGTGATGGCAAACAAAGTGGAGGAAACGCAAGTGAAGGACATAAATGCAGCGCCGTTCTTTTCTCTGGCTTTGGATGAGTCAACAGACGTGAGCCATTTGTCGCAGTTCAGCGTGATTGCAAGATATGCTGTTGGTGACACACTGCGCGAAGAAAGTCTTGCTGTTCTGCCATTAAAAGGGTCCACAAGAGGTGAGGATTTATTCAAGTCTTTCATGGAGTTTGCTCAAGAAAAAAGTCTACCTATGGATAAACTTTTCTCAGTGTGTACTGATGGTGCTCCGTGTATGGTGGGAAAAAACAAAGGATTTGTGGCGCTTCTCTGTGAACATGAAAATAGACCCATCCTAAGTTTCCATTGCATTATACACCAGGAGGCACTTTGTGCTCAGATGTGTGACAGGCAGTTTGGCGAAGTGATGTCGCTGGTCATTCGTGTGACCAACTTTATTGTTGCCCGAGCCTTAAATGATCGCCAGTTTAAAACACTGCTAGATGAAGTTGGACATAACTATCCTGGTCTGCTTTTGCACAGCAATGTGCGTTGGTTGTCAAGAGGGAAGGTGCTTAGCCGTTTTGCGGCTTGCCTGAACGAAATCCGGACTTTCCTTGAAATGAAAGGCGTCGAGCATCCTGAGCTAGCCGACACCAAGTGGCTCCTCAAGTTTTACTATCTCGTAGATCTGACTGAACATCTGAACCAGCTCAACGTGAAAATGCAAGGCATTGGAAATACAGTGTTATCCCTTAAACAAGCTGTATTTGCTTTTGAAAACAAGCTGGAGCTTTTCATCACGGATCTTGAAACAGGTCGTTTACTACATTTTGAAAAACTGAGCCAATTTAAAGATGCATGCACAGCAAGTGAGCCCATTCAAAACCTTGATCTCCACCAGCTAGCTGGCTGCACATCCAGTTTCCTACAGTCCTTCAAAGCACGCTTTGGAGAATTTCGTGAGCACACTTGTCTTTTTAAGTTCATCACCCATCCAAACGAGTGTTCACTGAACACAGCTGACCTGAATTACATCCCTGGTGTCTCCGTCAGAGATTTTGAAGCAGAAGTGGCTGACCTGAAGGCCTCAGACATGTGGGTGAATAAGTTCAAGTCACTGAATGAAGATTTGGAAAGAATCACACGACAGAAAGCGGAGTTGGCGAGCAAGCACATGTGGGCAGATATGAAAAAACTCCAACCCGAAGACCAGCTGATTCTCAAAACTTGGAACGCGCTTCCTGTCACATACCACACACTGCAGCGTGTGAGTATTGCTGTATTGACCATGTTTGGATCTACGTATGCATGTGAGCAGTCATTCTCACATCTTAAAAACATCAAGTCCAACCTACGATCACGTTTAACGGATGAAAGCCTCAACGCTTGCATGAAGCTTAACCTGACCAAGTACCAACCCGACTACAAAGACATCAGCAAATCCATGCAGCACCAGAAGTCGCATTAATGGTGAGTGTTATATCAACATTATTTAAAATAATAAATTCAGAGGCTTATTATACTGACATTTAGTTGAATTCCCTTTCAAAATATATTATATGGCTCTCACTGAAATACATTTCCAAATTTTTTGCTTTCATGGCTCTCATAGTCAAAAAGGTTCCTGACCCCTGTTCTAGAAGAAATTCAGGCCAATCCGGTGCATCACTCACGTTATGAAAGAAATAACAGTGGAGGAAAGCAGCGGAGATCAAGGAGGCGGGGCGGACGTGGAGGGGTGAGACAGCGGCTTCGGAGAAGGGGGAGTAGACCCCCACTGCCCTCAGTGATTCTGTTTAACGCACGCTCACTTAAAAATAAGATAGATGAGCTCAGGGTGCTCACCGGGACATGCTTTGAGTATCGTGAGTCCTGTCTGATGGTTGTCACAGAGACCTGGCTTCATCCTGACATCCCCAGCTCACTGGTGGAGCTGAATGGCTTTATGAGTCTGTATCTACATCAGGGATGTATGGTGCCGTCACTATACTGTCAAAGATGCCATCTGTGACCCGGACGTTGAGTACCTTTGTGTCACACTCAGACCTTTTTATCTCCCGAGAAAATTCAGGAATATAATCATCTATGCTGTGGTAACGCAGGAAGAGCTGCAGCAGTGGCTGAGCGTGTGCACAGACAGTTACAACATACACCTGATGCCCCAGTACTGATCTTAGGGGACTTCAATCACTGCAAACTGGATTTTTCCCTACCTGCTTTTGAACAATACGTGAAATGCTTCACTAGGAAGGACAAAATACTAGATAAATGCTATGGAAATACTAAAAATGCATCTACAGCAAAAGCTAAGCCACCCCTGTCCAACAGTACATCTTATTCCTACATATCGCACTGTCCTTAAAAGGAGCAAACCCACAATAAAAAGTGTTAAGGTTTGGACAAATGAAAGTATTGACACATGGCTGTTACTTAAGTACAGATTGGGATGTGTTCCATGAGCCTGACCTCGATAAAACCACAGACGTTATAAAGTCAGACAAACATTTGTATTGATGCTGTTTTACCCACAAACACAATGACATTCTATCCAAACAACAAATCCTACGTCACAAAAGACGTTAAGGATTGCATTCTACGTAAGAAGGCTGCATTTAGGAGCAATGACCGTGTAGAAATTAGATCCATACAACGGGAGCTAAAACAGAAGATCAATGATTAAAAACAACAATATAACGACACAATTGAAAATAATTTCAGGAACGGGGACAAAAGGAAGATGTGGGCCACCATGAAAACCATCACGAATATGACTCCCAGCAAGAAGCCCCTGTGTGCAACAGACCAACCAGCAAGAAGCCCCTGAGTGCAACAGACCAACCAGCAAGAAGCCCCTGTGTGCAACAGACCAACCAGCAAGAAGCCCCTGTGTGCAACAGACCAACCAGCAAGAAGCCCCTGTGTGCAACATACCAACCAGCAAGAAGCCCCTGTGTGCAACAGACCAACCAGCAAGAAGCCCCTGAGTGCAACAGACCAACCAGCAAGAAGCCCCTGTGTGCAACAGACCAACCAGCAAGAAGCCCCTGTGTGCAACAGACCAACCAGCAAGAAGCCCCTGAGTGCAACAGACCAACCAGCAAGAAGCCCCTGTGTGCAACAGACCAACCAGCAAGAAGCCCCTGTGTGCAACAGACCAAAGAAAAATGGCAAAAGATTTGAATACTTTTTATTTGAGGCATGAGTCGCATGATTTTTCTGCTGATTGTCGTAGAACATTAATCAACTCAAG